GTTCTCCTGGCGTGTGGTGATTTTAGAAAAAGAGCCTGGTCTCTAGGGTTCCTCCTCAGCATTGTCTCCTGGCTCCCCATGTATACACATAACTCACAAGCACGTTGCTGCGATAAAAGCCCACATAAGACCTATGACAAACGTTCACTGTTAATTAGATTTCAAAATGTTCCCAACACCATACTGCTGCTGTTGCATTTAGAGGCTTTTCTTCTGTTACAGCGTTTAAAAAAAATAAACTATACTTTTCAATTAACTGAAACTATTACACAAGATGGGAGTACACTATCACTTATTAGAGCTCTAAAAGTATGCAGCTTTATTCTGTCATTTACTTTCACTCGATTTGACTCACTAGTGGACATTTATTCATACAGGACCTCTGTAGAACTTAAACGTTTTCTGGAAAAACAATTTCCTTTCACTGTTTTTCACTAACTACCATGATAGAAAGAGACCATCTGCATTAATATCAGTTTTCCCCGGAAGAAATTTGTTTTACATTTGTCTACATTCTGGTTGTAAAAACTGCTCGACCGTGATGTTTGAGAAGAACCCTCTTAGATCACAGGCACTGGCACTTGGCACTTGGTGAACAGAGAACGTAGTCTGATTTGGCCAACAAACTGAAAGGCTTGGCTAACTCCGCTCAGTTTTAAAAGAATACCGCCTTCGACCTCTATGCTAGCTGTGTTTGTCATGAAGGTAAAAGTACAAATCATTGAATCAGCTGTGCTACATCAGAAATAAAATGTGGTTGTACACATTTTATTTCTGTATACTCACCTATTTATGTAGATTCAGGGCCGAAGTTAAATTAATGACTTTTGTATTATTTGCAGTCAAAGACCTTCCTATTATCTACAGGCAGCACTCCAAGTCCTCCATCCATCAATCGGCTCACCTGTCAATCAGTGTATTATGGGAATCATTTTCCGATATGCTACTTTCTAAGGTGGCACAAGACTCCATTACTGGTTAATATAAACAGGATTTAAGTGACTTTGTGCCGGTGTCTGCTCATTGATTCCTTTGGGAAATAAGAAAATACAGTATATCTGTCTAGTTCACTGGACCTCCAGCTGAAGAATAAGAGACCGAGAGCAACTATCGTAATTCAACTGATAAATTATGATTCTGCCCGTCCTGAAATCGGTGGGACTCCAAAATAAAACCTGGTTGCAGATGGCTGCATATTTTGCATTTTTAGCTCTACTTAACCATGTCCTCAATTTCGTATTTGTGCACCTCAAACCAAATCTCTCGGAAGGTTAAATGGAAGGGAATTTTTGCAGCATAGGATAGAACAGATAGAGAATATTTCAAGTGGGCAGCTGTGTCAGCATCCGTAGTTGCTCACACCTGAAGAAGGCTTCACAGCCTAAACGTTGTGTTGTCTCCCTTCTCTTTTCAGCATGGAATAAACCTATCAGTTGTTCCTTTACAGGTAGAGAATGTTTGCAATATGCAGAAAAATATCAAACTAATCGTGCTTACAGTGGACATCTGTATAGCATGTTTCATGCCTTCTGGAAGCCAATTTTATTGCAAACATTTTAATGCCCAACAATGGGATGATTATTTGTTAAAGCACTTTCTTAACAGCTGAATCATTACAAAGAGTCCAAATGGCTTTATTTATTCGAAAGATATGGATTTAAATGAGGCCTTTTTAGAATGAATGGATTTTCTCCAAGAAATCGATGTTTAGTGCTAACATCCTTTGCAGACTTTTATTAGTAATCCATTCAAAGTTGCTGAATTGAATTAAAGCATATGATGTTATGGCATGCAGCAAGGTATTTGCGAAACACATTCAACAATGACAAATTCTCAGATGGACGAGAATTCCTGGATGATGTTATGCAGAAGCAACAGAAGGAAGAAATAAAACACCATTAAATGTTTTTTTTTTCAGAATTACTTTACTGGTGCTTACAGGCTTGCCTTATACATGATTGAGAGACCTACAGGAGGACTCAATAAAATGATTCAGCTATTAAACATTATTAAGAGATGTGCGGATTAGAGGCTGTGACTGACAGGAAACCCCCCCCTCTTCATCCCCTGCTGAGAGGATAAAGGCCATTTGATTGTTTATTTGCTCCCTGTCTGATCCCCCAAATTGATCCCCCACTCCTGTCAGTGTTTATGTGTGGGTGATTATGAGCCGGTATGGAAAGTGGTCTTCAATCTGTCAAGAAACCCCAAGCCTGTTGAGGTGCTCACTTTCACTGCTGTTTCAGTGTGAAGCCTTGCCTCTTCAATCAGAGACATAAACTCCCACCTCCCCACCCTCAGTCATTCCTCGCACCTCGAGCTTCAGCACAGAGTTGACTTAACCATGCTCGCAATCTGGAGGATCGCAATACAAATAGTGTCTGGCTCTCAGCCTGGCTTTCTGAGAGTACCTATCATAAAAAGCACACATCAATCACATCAGTGCTGGCCGTAAGCATTGATGTGTACTCCAGCTGGCATGCCAGCTGTATCAAGAAAACCATGTATCCAACTTAAGGGACAGTACAGGCTTATGAGCCTCAGGAAACCATGGAGAACAGCCACACCACCAAACCTCATTCTGAGCTTTAAAGCCATCCTCGAGAGGTGATCAGAAGTTAGTTTTAGTTTCCTAAAAAAGGCAACAAAAATATTCCACAAAACATAGGCAACTGTAGTAGATTCTTCCTCAGTAACCTCATACTCCAGTGTGCGCAATGGGATGTACTGTACATCTGTTAGTGTAACTACAGTACATGCAACGGAGATCCCTGACCTACATTTAAGGATGTGTGGTTTCATTTCCCTGCCTAGCAAATCTGTAGTAATCATAACCTGCATTTGCTGGATCTCCCTAAACCCTCCATGCTTTATATTAGCGAAAATACACTTGGCAATCATGTGGAATAAAACCTTGCAGTAGTTCAGAACCCATCTGAAGTAGCCAATCTCACGCCACTTAGTTCATTTCTTTAAAACAGAGTGGGTAAAGATAGTTTACTTGTATGGGTTATAAGGTAAAGAAACTCTTATTAAGTATCAGATTGTTTTATAATAATTTTATGAGGAAACATTTTATGTTTATGAACACCATGAGCTCACAAAGACAGTCCACATTCAGTAATATGCCTTGAACAGACCAAAGCAGGTTGCCCTTTTGTAGAGCAGCACTGGATTTCGAAACATGCCACTGTCAATTAACAGGGCCACTTGCACACGTGACTCAGAAAAGCAGACAGTCAGGGACCGCAGGCTTTCAAGATGCATTGCTACAGGAGAATGCAAAGGACTTCCTGGACCACAAAGCAGACAAATGAGTGGGCCTCTACATCAGGAATTGGTAAACATTTTCCAAAGATGAACATATGTTTTTTGGGGAGAGATTTTAAAATTGCATCGAGGCGGCAGTAATCTAAAAATGTGTGGAAATAAAGAGGCTGATGAAAAAAGGCAGAAGACCTTTGGACACACTGGAATGGCTAGGAATTTGCATGGCTGACAGAAGACAGGGAACCTCTGCAGAATGTAGGTTCACCTTGTCTCCAGACCTTAGGAACGAGATGGCCCTTCTGGCCCATTTTGTACTTAGTAACTGATCTCAGGATCTCATCCAGCCATTTTCTGAAAGGAGCCAGGGTATCAGCAGGACAGTACCCAAGTGATTGTTTAAAGCGAGACTATAATGCCTTCTTGAGCCCACCTCTAGCAGGTGTGACAGGCCTTTCTTGCCTTTGTCTTTCAGATTTGCATGAGTCAGACGGCTAACATCGCCACACAAACCGCTCACGACTGGTAGAGAAATAAAATAGGCCCCTCTCCCCCCTGACATGTCTCCTTGAAGCTCTGTCCCACAGTTCCATCCAGCCAGGAGGAGTGGAAAAGCATTAGTGCTCTTTGCACAGTAGCAGGAAGGAGTTAAAGTCTGAGCAGCTAAAGAAGACTAAATCTGAACAGAACCGCTAAGGTCAAGTAGTGTTTGTCTTTCTTACAATAAACAGGACCTTCAGGAAGCATCAGTGCCCGTGGGCATGACACAGATGAAATACTACCACAGAAAAATAATATACTAACACAATAGGTTTTCTCAATTGGCTGGCTGAAAAGCTCCAACATGCCTTTGTTCATAATTGGGTGTATTACAATTGTTCCAAAAATATAGATGTGGGCGTACTGAACTGTCCTAAGCTAGAAACACAAAAGGAGTTTAATTTATTCATTCCTCTTCTGCAACAGCTCACATAAAGTAAGCAGTGCCCGTTTTCTTTTTGCTTTTCCTTTAAAAAGAATTTCACAAATGATTTACAGATTTTCAAAAGTTCAAGCAAAATGTACTTCCATGATGATAATTAAAGATAAAAAAGTCATTAATAGCGATCCACCATTCCAGTATTTTTCAGTCTCGGTTTCATAGCAACGCCCAAAAACTTCCTGCTGTTTGTGCTTAAGGTCCCGGACAAGGGAAAGGCCACTTCAAAGTTTTTCTTTAGTGGTAATAGAGATAAAAGGCTGGTGAACTCAGAGTAGGATGGGATTTTAGAGGTGAGACAGCAAACATCATAAAATGAAGTGCCAGGCTGTTATGACCTAAATGCCTATTAGAGAGAATCAAAATATTTTTACCACTTCAAACTTTTAAAACTATTATTTATGATAACTATTATTAATATTATTAAGATGTCCAGACATTTCATATAAAATACCAAAAGCTTCAAACCAGGGAGATGGATTTTGAGTTTGTGTCACATTTTGTAAGTCATTCAGGCATTAGTACCCACCTGCGCCTGTACTGCGCCTGCAGTTCTTCTACACAGACATGGGACTTGTCTAATCCCCTGTGTTTTTACAACTCCTTTAACACAATGGCCGGTTCCCAGAATCGGATACCACGCTCAGCTGAGTACGCAAAAGCAGCTTGTTTTCCCAGTGACACAGCAGTGCCTTCACACTTCCCCGCCTTAGGCCGTCTAGCCTGGGTCCCTGTTACAACACAGAATGGTTACCTCTGGTGTTCGTCGCCATGTCCGCCACTTTCTGAAAGGCATCCAAGAAGGCTACGGCAGCCAGCACAGTGGTCCTGAAAGAGCAGGGGACAGAGGAAAAAGTTGAAGTGCTGCCTAACATTTTAGAGCACTGACACACAGCCACAGACCCCGACACTCCTGTTCCAACAAGCTATTTTTTTCCAGCTTCCTGTATTGATGCATTTGTACACTTTTACTGTGCGATTGTCGTCAGGATTTCCCAAACTGATAGTGACGTGTGAAAAATAACTCCTCCAAATAAATCCCATTATCCCAGGCTGGATTTGAGTCTACCAAATACTTGCTACCTCAGCCTCACATTTGCCGAGGTTTGTTGACAGCAGCGTTCATTTAAACACACCAGACTCTGGATCATGTGGTTTTCAGTCCTGAATGGGTTGGCAGCTGTGCACATGAACAGGATGAGGGGTTCCTGCCAAGACAGGCCGCACTGTGCCACACTCACCTCAGCTGAGAGTGCAGTTTGGTAGCCTTGGCACTGAAGTCCTCCCAGATGGGGTAAGAGCTCTGCAATAGGAGAGGGAAGATGCATTAGACAGTAGTCTGCATGACTGCTCCATTGCTCTTCTCACAACTGGACTCCATGTCGGAGGACACAAAGCATGCAAACTCATGGGTGCTACCTACAGCAAACTGTACAAAAGGTAATCTAACATAAACCTGGTGTTACAATGTTGTTTTAATGTCTGTCTGTTACCATTGTTACCATCAAATTCTTCATTCTTATGCCTCACAAGTCCTTGATTTACTTTCTAAAGAACTTTTTGGCCAATTCAGTCAGTGTTCGTCACAAATTTGGGACAGTTAGTGATTATCGTCTCATTAGCTTCACGTTGCCAGAAACTCTTCACAAATCTGAGGCGGTACCTGAGGTATCCAGACGTTGCTCCTATGAGATGTAGTCTGAATTGGCCACCACCACTGTTTCTAAGTGAACTCTTTTCAATCTCATTCCAGCCCCTATCACCCCCAAAAGGCATGATTTAAGAAAATACTGCCTTAGCCACAAACACATTTAACATCACCTATAAATAAACCGTTCTTGCAAGAATAAATGTTGAATGGATGTTTTAAATAATACATTAAGACACAACCAACATTCGAAGCAAAACAAATTACCTTTGGCATTTTTCAATCATAAACTGGCAGGGGTGTGAGTGTGTGCATGTTTCTGTTTGTGTCTGTGTGTGCCCTGTGATGGATGTACCCCACTTTGCACCCATTGCTTGTATGCTCCAGCTCCCCCATGACCATGAATTGGATGAAACGGTTAGAAAATGAAGAATGGATGGATCGGTCAACAAAAAAACACATGCCCTCTCTCCTGTCCTGCAAAGGTTTTCCCCAGATCAAAAACAGGCACACAAATGGTAACTGTGGCAGAGCTCCAACAACTGTCTCATTACTGTTCACGTTTCATTACTGGGCTCAAAGCAGCACTTTGAATTGGGCTTGAGATGGCTCAATTAGGTGGCTCTTCTCCACAGCTTGTTTGCAAGCATCAGCAATACCGCAAACCACAGGTAAGAATGGTAAATTAAACACCACTTTCCCCCAGACTACCAAAAGAACCTGCTATTAGTTCAATAAAAAAAGCCTTTAAGACTGAAGTTCAAATTCCCATTAATTCAATGTTAGGTTGGAGAACTACAAAGAGGTGTCCTGCTCTGACTAAGACTAAAAGAACTCCACCTTTTTCATTGTGAACAGAGAAAAATATAAGCAGACTTGATTCAGTTACCAGAGTAAACTACAAAATGCAATAAAAGGTTGTTAGAGAAAGGGGTGTGGAATACCTGGTTTTCTATCAAGAAACACATGGATCAGCTCCCTGAAACAATTATCTAGATGCCCAATTAGAACAATCAAATTAGCTAGATGGGCCGAAAACAGCCTCTTGTTCACAATATGTATTGTATTTTACTGTTTATGAATACCAATGTGCTGTTTATCCGATCAGTGTCTGAGCCTCAGGTTATAATCAATTCAATCCAAGCACACCACCCATTCAGAAATAATTTCTAATCAATAATGCATCATCTACATCTCACCCAGATGTTTTTTTAATTTAGAACAGACAATTATGTTTTGAACTCGTTTGGAATGTTTGGAATCACCAATGGTGATTTTCACGTCTGGGCTCACAGTTACAAACCCTGGGACGGCACACGGGAGAAGATGAGGAAATTCAGACTGACTCTTCTGACCCGCTTAACCTTGAGCCACTTGTCCTTTAACCCGTCACAGGCAACACAACCCATACTGGACACTCAGTTCTGATTGGAGAAGAGGCACATCCATCACTAACAACACTTCCCATCCTATCACCAGAGGTGCTCAGCCAATTGTGCTTGGTGAATCCTGGTATTACCCTGAAACCTCTAAGCACAGGATTTCTGAGGATGAGATAACAATTCTTAACCTTAATTAGAAATAACAACTTTAATAATCTATTACCAAAAAACCTGTCCATACCTGGTAAGGTTTATGATTACTCAAACTCTCCACGCAGGGTGAGACCTTTACACAGCACACACAGGGAATATGTAAGAGACAGCTATTAAGCTAGGTTAGGTATCTGCAACTCCAAATTGCATCTTATTGCTTTTCTTTAGAAAATGAACATAAAAACTAAACAGAAAATGTTGCAAGAATAGAATTAAAAATAATCTGCCTTCAAAATTTCCACATATCCCATTTTTTCTGAGATGATAAACACCTTTGGCATGGCATTGCAGAGTTACAAAAAAGTAATACCGTGGCTGAGAAGTTTTTTTTTTGCTTTAGAAATTTTATTTGATGAGTTGCGTATTTTTTACTGTTACTATTCACACACTTCAGCATTCACGTGTATTCTTGAAGCAGGTCAATAAGAGGAATGATTTGAGAACAACAGAAGAAGAAAAGTCTTGATAATGATGATGAATAATAATCTTTACACTGTTATAGGGGTCTTGATGACTGACAGTGGTTTTGGAGTGTACCCCTTACAGAACACTTCATTGAATTCCCTTTTTAAATGAGTTCGATCAACATCATTGCAAGACAATAATAAGCTATGGAGCATATTTTCTGAGCTCTTTCAGTCTAAGCAGTGTTACAGTCAGATGAAATCCTCAATCAATCACAGTTAAAATATCCCTTCAGTAGTTTAAACTTAGAAACGTTATCAGATGTTCTGTAAGAACTGCAAAAACCATGGTATCTTGTGCAATACATTTGGATTTCTAATTATTTTTCTTTCCAAGAATTTGAAAATGTAGGAGTGTGTTTTGTCTCAAGTACAGTTAATAATGAAATACTTTTATAATTGACTTTAGTAGACAAGCCTGCAGTGATCAATGTTTTCTCCAGACTGCATAGTCGTTTAAACAACTGCCAGTTCCTTTCAGGTTTGTCACCACCTGATCAATTATGATCCCAATTGATGTTTAATTCTATCAGTTTCCTCATATCTAAGCTTGGTTTGATTTGACTTGTTCAGAAAGGGACTGTACCTCCAGTCATTCCCCCAAAAGAATCCATTCTACATACAGTAATCTATGTGCCCTTTCTGATTCCAGGTACAGTAGAGGGTTAAGAACCAGAAGGTGGGCTCGTGGAAAAAATAACTGTTTTATTTTCAATTTGAACAGTTTTCATTTTCAGTTTTAATTATCCAGTAGACTAGGCCTTTGTGATAGAAATTAGTAACTAGCTCAATCAAATGATAATCAAATGCCTTCTCTTGTTTCCATCTACTGACTTATGATATTTTCTTCAATTTTCTGTGCTAACACGTTTCAGAATTCTAGGTCTCCAAGGCAAATCCTCAGTTACTGGAACAGATCTTTAGATTTCCAACCACTTGGCATCAGTCCCGCTTCTCAGCTGCTTTCGGCCAGTTTGCTTGGCACTGTTAGTTATTTTACATATTTCACCGGGAACTTTGTGTTCTGACAGTGCCTATGAACAGTTCACAATCTGGTTTATGACAAACTCCATGATTCAGGCAAATATGACCATTCAACATCTCAGCAGTACCTCAGATGAACTTGAACTGGAGAGAGAACTCTATGCCTGGCATCAGAATGTTGTGTGTGTGTTTGCCTTCTGGGTCTTCTCAGGAATGTAATTACTGCATTACAGAAGCTTTGGTCATTTTTCTCCCTTCTTCATGCTTTACAAAGTCATGCGAAGAAGAATTCACTTCTTTCCTCTCTGTGCTTACAAAGAGGAAGCCATTTACTCCTAGTAAGGGTTCAGGCAACTCAGGAGCACAGGGAGCAGAGCAGGACCGCACCCAGCAAGGAATGCCACACAAGGACAATTTAGAGACACCAGTAAACACAGCCAGCATGGGAAGAAGCCAGAGGACCTCGTGCCCATGGGGGAAAATGCAATGTCTGCATAGAAGGATTTTTGTTGTCGGCAGCGGTGATGCCACCTTGCTGCCCAAATAAGATGTCATATTTCTTTCTAATTTAAATATTTGCAATCAAGAATCGAATACCTACTTTTATAGTCCTACAGTATAGATAAAATAGTTGTCTGGTTGTTTTTTTCTGTTTTATGTCTGGATTTGCTTTGGATTTTAAGGCCTTTGGTGGGCTCTTTAGAGGAAACAGAAGTACTGAAACTCCTGAGTAAGTGATCGTGTATCTCCTATCCCTGCATCTCAGCCAAGCCTGTTACACAAGGCTAATTAGCAGCTAACACAACTTTTTTATGGAACATCAAAAGAGAAGGCACACACAGCCCTGAGAGGCAGGTTACTGCGGGGTTACAAAAAACACAGCTCTTTAAATCCAAACAGATCCCCACTAATTAATTCATCCTTACGTGATTCAATTAAAGTAATTAAGCAGCCCTCTGTATGGAAGTCCTCTAACTGAAAGGATGAAAGTTTCTGAGAACCCCTGGCTGAAGCACAGATCATGTGGAAAACTCAAAGTTAGGAACAGACTGTTAAAAGCTGCACTTGTAGCTGTGGATTAGCAATGGGGTTTTGCTACGTGTTTTATTTTTTAATTTCTGTATTGGCAATAATTTATGATATATCCATGCGGCTTGGAATTGTTAAGTGTGTGTTTTTTTTCCACATTTCAGCTGACTTGAGAGGCACATCCTCACTGATAGCACCACCACTGAGGCATCCCAGAAGCTGTCCGGATGGGTCATGAGTTGCTGAGAGTAGGGAGAGCCCTGGCTGACTAATCCTACCCTACCCTCACTGGGGCTTAGCCACTCGTGTGCCATTACTTAAGGGACTCTGCTCACAGGTGACCTGCAGCTCATGGCCTGTTATCATAGAGAGCAGCCTGTGCCAACAAGAGCACATTTACCTGCTGAGTCACCCTGGAGGTCCCCAAGTGCTAAGTACTGTTCCTTCTGCAGGTGAAATCTCATCAGATAGTCACGTTATCAGTATGAGCTTCATAACAAGAGTTACACTAGACAACTGGGTGTGATTTAAAATAAAGGGCTGGGGAGGGGATTCCTTAGTGTCATCTTTTCAAAACTCTTGA